AGTTTTTGTGTCTTTGTAGTGCAGTATATAGCTCTGTGGCTTGTGCTTCTGATTGGGGGATTTTTGTGACCTAACTCTTGCTATATGAAAGTGCAATATAATAATACTTTATCCTCTCCCAAAGGCACCATATGCCACCTACAGGTACCATGTGCATAGATGCTGTCAGAAAATGGCAGCTTCACAGTACACAAAGCTGAAGGTAACATTTCATAGCATCTCTAAATGCATTTTAAAAAAAGATAGTGTAAAAAGCAGGCATAATAAGGAATGATTTTAAAATATAGAATGTTTAGTACAACATAAATGACAATATGGCTACAAAGCTTCTGGTCTTTTAAGCCACATCCTTCTCACCTTACTCACACAAGAAATCCCTTTTAAGCCAATGGGACAATTCACATGAGTAGAGGGAGCAGGGTTTCACACTCTGTAGCATGTGTCAATATAGATTATCATTCTACATGCAGACAGATCAATGTAATTTTTTTTTTAAAAAAAACAAAGCTAAAAAATATGAGTTATTTGTTTGATGAAAAATTGGTGGCATCCTCACTTTTCGTTTTACACAAAATTAGCCTTAGTTCCACCAGTTATATTGGGGAAACTATTTTAATCTTACAGTTCAAGTCCTCTTAATAAATGTAGGCCTTAGCTTCCCCATCTGTAAAATGAGGATAGTAATACTTGCCTCTTTTGTACAGCACTTTGAGAACTTTTGATGCAAAGTTCCAGATAAGAGCTAGGTCTTATTATTATATGATAGAAAATTAAATCAATCCAGCTAAACTGGTGCAAATCCTTAATGTAGATGCACTTAAACTAGTTTAAATCATGTTTTATTTGGGTTATCTTAATTTGGTAATTTACCAACAAGCTAAACCAAATTAAGTGAGAGTTAAATCAGTTTAAGTGTATCTACATTAGGAATTTGCACCAGTTTAGCAAGATTGATTTAAAATCAATTTAGTTAAACCAGTGCAACTTTTCTCCTAGAGACAAGGCTTAAGAGATGCAGAAGTTTTCAAATTTTATTCTGAGTTATTAAAACAACAACTTTTTTATTTTTATTTTAAACTTTTACTACAATTTAAATATGACAAATAGCTGCTGTATAAGCTGTGTACAACTAGGGTGACTTTAATTAATTTGATTTGCTGCAGCACCCAAGGCATAACCAATGAATTACAGTGGAGGATTAAACTCCCTTTTCCATGGCTACCATCGCAAAGCAACTCTTCAGCAGCTTAGTGGTATGTAGCTATGAAACCTATGTCTACTGGACCTGTAACATTTCAAAAAGCAATCTGTCTACAGGGCTCAGCAGCCATTTTGTTCTCAGAAGTTGGTGCACTCTTTAACTGAGAAAACATACACACACTCTGCTCTCTCTCTCTCATGAAGACTTTATTTTTGTTTTTCACTGTACTTCCCCCTTAATCTAAAAAAAAATCTCAGAGTGATTTACATCTTTTTCTCTGTTGTTTATGAAAGATAAACAGTATGTACTGTTAAAACAAGCATCCCAACTGGACTTTACCTTGCCTCTTGAAATGTGCAGCTGTCACTGCTCTTGGAGTGTGGTGGTCAAAAATGTCAGTGTCCTGGTGAGGTCATAGTTTGAAGTAAAATAGTTTTATTAATAATCATTGCACCCATATAACCACGGATGTCATCAGGTGAGCCAGTAAGGAAAACAACTATAAACTTAAGACGAGAACCATTTTATTCCTGCCCTTGTCACTACATGCACTGGAAAGGAACCATATAGGCCCTTTTTTAGCTAGTAATGTGTAATGTAGTAAGACAGGAATAAGCAGAGTAGAAAGCACCTGTCAGCTCTATTTCCCACTCTCCTTGATTAGCATGAAACATTAATAGGGCTCTCAGAAATTCTGGTCTGAAATGGGCTTTGCCTGAAATCATGTCTGTCTTTACTGCACAAAAGCCGCTGTCATTAAAAAAGGGCAGATAACTAAAGTAGACTCTTTCTTGAAATTTATACCATTTTTTTCATACAATGACAAATTATTTTAATAATAGGAATTGCACACGCTGCCATTTGTATAATGTTTCCCATAAAATTCCCCCATTAAATTTGCTCCTCTACTTGACTCATCTCTTTTTTTAAAAAAAAAATGACACACACAAAATGATACATCATGCTTTCTTACAAAGAATTGAAAATGAACATACTGTAATGGGTTAACATACGTTTTAATAAAATTTTCATTGTTGCACATTTCACTTTTTGGTACTGAGAGCCATGGCTGTATCAGTAACCCCAGGCGATGCCTAAGGATAAAACAAATCATATGGTAGTGAACTATTTTCACCTATTTATCCTTCTACTGAAAATATATTCATAAATACAAAATGAAGCTAAGATATGTAGCCAGTAAAACTGTACATAACAAAGATATTTCCTCGTGTTGGTATTCTATTGTTTTTTTATAATATACTTTCTATGTTTCTAAAATCCTTGAGCTTATGTTTTTATTTGTTATGTAAGTAGTATGTAACTGAGCCATTTTAATTTTGTTTTCCAATAATTGACGGTAACAAATATTGAATCCATATGGGTAAACAAAATCTTAGTATACAACATGTTTTGAGGTTTAATACATGAGCCAAAAAATATGTACACATCTGTTTATCTAGAGGCTGGAGTTTTCAGATGCAGAAACTTTTTATTCGGGTTATATATAGATATTTCTGTGTAGACAATCTATTAGTTTGAAAGGATATATGCCATTGAACTTGTCCCTCTATGCATTGGCTAGCACATTAAAATGTTTGTTGGATAGGATTATCTCAGAGCATACACACTGAAAGAAATGCCTGGATACAAAATGTACTATACTGTAGTGTTTTTAAAATAATACGTCTACCAGAAAATTATGGAAATTATTAACATTTCACTATAATATACTGTAAATAATACAAAGCTGTAAAATTAAGCTACTTGCAGATACATTTAATCAAGTATGTTTCTAAGTTAACTATAATTTATTGCCTATCTGCAGAGTTTTGAAGGTGAAATCATACACTAAGAAGAAATGAACAGATGCACTTACTGTATATTGGTTAGGAAAATATCAGGCTTTTCAAGAACATTTGAAATCTAAAAATACTGAGCTCTGTCTCTTTCTCTTTCCACTGAAATGCTGTTTCACCTCAATAGCCTATTAGGACAGTACTAAAAAAGTATATTGAAAACAACAGAAAACAGGGAGTGAAATGTAAGTACATTATTTCTTCAACCTGCCACAAGGAAGCAAAATGGCTAAACTAACAAAGTAAATAAGTTTCCAGCAAATGAGTAAGTTGGAGACGATTTGGTATTACTAGTAAGAAACCTTTCTAAGTATATAGGATTATAGGGGAATATGTGATTAATAAAACTTGGAACTTTTATTTTTTACTGATTAATATTTTTTCTTTATGAATGACAATGTCTGTTTCACACTTAACTGTTGTTAGCTGCTGTTATTTTCAGAATGTATAACCTTCTACAAGAGCAGAATCACAGTTTTCATTAGTGAGAGTTTTAACTATCTGCTTCCATAGATGCAATGCTGATGAGAAACTACTGCACTTATAAGCCTGCTCCAAGTGATTGGATAACGTTACTTGGCACTTTAATTGTTGGGTAAACAAGTTCTGATATTTTTAATGTCTGGTAGTTAGTCCAAACCCGAACCAGATGTAAGGAGATAAATAGAATCCTCAAACATGGAATAGTCAATGAGAACACATTATGAAAAATGACTGGGGATGGTTTTTGGTGTGATGTGTGGGTTTTTTTTTTTTTTTTTTTTACACAATATGGAATTTAGCCTTCCTAGCCAAATGCCAATCAATAAGTCTATATGGAACAAAAAGCTCAATTCTAAAACTGTTAATATATAGCAATTGTATAAAAGGTATAATGCATATTTGCTATCCATGGTACATTTTCTAGTAAAAATGCTTTGCAGTCTGCTAGCTTGTCAATCTTTAATAGAAACTCATCAATTATTTGTGGGCAGGAGATTGAAGCAACTAATAACTCAAATATAATCCTCCATTTCAGTGCATCAGTAGCTCTAAATTAATGCCTGATTTTTTCCCTTAAAATAAGTTGAAATAAATAAATAAATGGAGATATAAAAATATATATGCATCATTTGGATAAGCAGGTAAGCATCTCAATATTAGGCATTACCTCTGACAAAGAAATAAGAGCTACCAAGTTTTTACTGATGGATATTTTCCTTAAAATGAAGAACAAATATGATTTGTCCTACATTCTTACTTGGCTACTTTAAAATATTTCTGCAACATCAAAATTAATTGCAATTTTGCCAGATAGATCCAAACACTAACATTGCTTTAAAAATGCTAACTTCAACTTTTCACTTGAGTGACCTCATTCCCTGATAATCTGAACTATGGATATTATATATATATAACTTGTAGGTGGGACATGCAGCATTCCTCATAAAACAAAGTCTACTCATTTCACCTAATTACAAATGAAACTTCTCTGACATTAATAGGCAGTAAAGCAAATTTATAGGCAGACATAGAACATTTCAGTCAAAAAAGTTAGCCTCCAACTTGATAGAAGGCAGGTTTTGCCAATCACATGCCATGAATCTACCCCCCTCTGACCCCAGCCATCTCTCAGATAGCAGATACTGGCATTCTTTGCACATCAGAAATGCGCCAGCAGAGACCATTCATGAGGGAAATAGGAAAGCAAGTCACATTTGAGCAGACAACAAATGCTCCGAAACCTTGACCCACTGCATGCAACAGTGAGTGAGCCACAAACCCAGCACCCAGCCATATTAGGATGAACAGCAATTGCAGGTTTTCTGACCTAGGATCCAGTCCTGCTGTAGTATACGCTATTCCCTGTATACAGCTGTTTTAAAAAAAAAAATAAAAGGAGTTTTGCATTATCATTTTAAGCTAGTACCCGTAGAACAGCACAGAATAGATGACACACTTACTGTAATGTCCCATGAAGCAAAGTTCCCATCTAGAGAGAGAGGCACTCTTTGCATTATTCCACTCCCTGCAAAAGGGTTAACCATTATGAAGAAACATTATGCCAGACATTAGCAGACAGCCTACTTAGATATTACATTTTTCCACACATGATAAATCCTGGGTAAACCTGTTTTTCTTTTTAAACACCTTGCAGAGTGATGCCTGGCACTGCATCTAGTTGCCAAAGCACAATCAATATGGAAGGAGCGGTATTTTATGATTGGAGAAGTTGTTGTGTTTTTGGTGGTGAAATTCATTATTTAGTATCTGAACCCTCAGCATTTCAGTATCATTTATTCATAAAGTCCCTTTTTGCCAGGAGGAAATGGATACAGCTGTAGAGAGAGAGAGTGCGAGAGAGAGAGAGAGAGAGAGAGGGAGAGAGAGGGAGACGGATTGATGATATTGATCAGGTACCATCTTGAAACAAAGGCTAGGTGCTCTATTTTAGTTGACAACTGTGACACATAAAAAACAAGCAAGAGAGGGGGAAGGCTAGGGCCTTGAACATCACAGGCTTTAGAAAGCGTTTGAAGAAACCATTATGACAAGCAGGTCTAGGCAAGCTGCTGCAAAAATGTATTCAGAAGAGTCATTAAAAAATGATGCTTTGTTTGCCTTGTGAATATGAGGTTTGTAGCTAGCTGCAATACACTCTCCTACAGAAGAAATGATGAGGTTTTCACACTGCACAGTCGCCTCTCCTTTTCTTTTTTGAAAAGCAGGAAAAAAAACTTTTATACCTTTATAGTCCAGATTTAAAACAGAACATTTTAGATTCTCAGTCAATCAATTACTGTAACGGTTGGCTATAGCCAGAATGGACAGTTTACTATTAAAAATGTTGGGATAAAAATAAAATGACTGATTTCCAAATCTTTCCAAGAGTTCACATTGTTACCGTCTCTCTTTTCGTGGTTTTACAGGGGTAACTAGTACTTCTGCTAGACTGCTGTATGGCAGAAATGCATTTTAGTGCAGGGAAGTGCTCTTGGCATCCAATCATGGACCCTCTTTAGTTCATCCTGCCCAGAACAAGGGAATATGCATTGCGGCCTCTGACTGCCATAAGGTTAATTATGTGCTCAGTTTGAAAGGGAAAGAACGGGTAAGGTTTCAACTGTCCATGCACCTTCTGGAGACCTGTTTTCCTCCTCTCTGTAGCCGTACTTGTGGAATTCTCCCCAGTGATGTGCTCTTTGGGTAGGTCTAGATAACACAACTTGAAAAAATGAGTCACTACACTTGTGTGGGGTAGCGTGGACCAATGGACTGAGAGGAGACCTGCATTTTATTTCAGGCTCTAATACTGAGTGGCTGGGTGACCTTGGGCAAGTCACGTAACGGTTCTGTGCCTCAGTTTCCCCATTAGCAAATGGTGACACTAATGTTTAAACAACTTTTATAAAGCACATTGAGATTTATGGACAAAAAGTGATGCCTGTCTTAAGTATTATTAACTGTGTTCCCAGCTGAAACTGGCTAAAAATTCCAGAAGGGGCTCTGAACTAGGAAAACTAGGATATTTTAAATTTTGGATATTTTGTAATCTGCTAGTAATTCAGGAAGTTTGGAGGCAATTATTCAAACTGAAAAGACAAGACATAGGAGGAGTGGAATGCTTTCAACGTAAATGAAGGCAAACTATTCCCTTGCTTCAGAAGACACTCCCTTTGGTATGGCTCTGTTCTAAATACTGCCATTTCTTGTTACAGTCAGGTCTGAGGAAAAAAAGTGAATTGGTTTTGAAAGCAAAGGAGACACCGCAGTAACACTAGCTGAAGTTTCTAAGCCACCTGCAGACTCCAGAACTGGTTAAACGTTTGAAAGGGTAGAATACAATATAGTTGAAAAACTTTGCTTGATACACATTTCAAGGACCTGATCTACAGCTCACTAAAGTAAATGGAAAGGTTCCAACAGATTTCAACAGCCTTTGATTCAAGCCGTAGGGGAAGAATTGAACATCTACTTATCACCTTGCTATGCTATGCTAAAAAAGAGCACCTCTGATGTGACTATTTCCATGTCAAAAGGTCTGTGAGGTTAGTCAGGGAAATCTCTTTTCTATGTTGTGAAGGGGAAATTCTGCTCTTGTGAGATCTAGCACAAGGTTGTGATCTCTGGCATTGTTGTCCATCTTTCAACATGTACTTAGATATTAATTGCTGTGATAGCATTGTGACATAATGAAAAACCTCCCATATTTCAGAGTTTAGAGCCTTCTCATAATGTAAAAAACGGAGCCCAGTTTCTTGGGAGGTCAGAGGGGAGATATAGATGTATGTTTAAGCCATTCCTCCATGTCTATCAGTTGGGAGCAAAAGTGTGTCTGTGTGTATGTGTTTGTGTATGTGTGTGTGTGTGTGTGTGAGAGAGAGAGAGACAACCCTTACTCCTGACAACCTCTCTACTGCTGTCTTGCTAGCAGATACCAAAGGAAATGCCTCTGAGAAAAAAAAGTACAGATCCACATATCTCACTAGTGATGCACATGCCTATTAACTTGCTTAGTTGGGAGGAGGATCAATGACATACTTATTTAAGATTTACCACAGGGTGGCTTTCCCTCCAAAGTGTATTCTGCACTGAGTTTGGAGTGAAAATAACAGGGGAACCCAAGCATGCTGACAAATTTGCTATGAGCAGTGTAGTGGATCCAAAAGATGACAGACGCTGGACCCCATCTTAAAAATATAGTGAGGAAAGAACTCACAGTGGAGTTTAGGGACTGAAGCAGGGATATCAGTGCAAGGGAAATCAGTTGCTGAATCAAGTCTGAGAGTCACTTGAGGGAAAAGGAAGGATGGTCATCAGTGATGCGGTTCAGGACTGGCTGTGAGCGAATTTAAGCAGATCAAATATTTTTTTAAGTTGGTTCAGATCAGAGACTGAATGACTGTTTGGGCAGTTCTTATTTTGTCCAAATTGGTCAGCCATCCTTGATTTCTTATTCAATTTATCAGCCATTATAGGTATTGTTTTGTTATTTAATTGTTATGCTGCTCAATCACAGAGAAGTGGTTTGGTGGGGAAGTGAGAGGGAAAAGGAGCACCCTCTTCCGCCATATCATCCTTTCAGAATGAAAAACTCTTCCCCCTTCACTGTTCTTTCCCAGGTCCCACCTCTTTCTCTCCAATCTGTCTCCTACCTTCCTATTTCCCCCTACATTAGTGAAAAAACCCTGTACAGCCCAGGCCACAAACTGAAAGGTTGTTGGATATACCACTTTCCCAACTGGACCTCATTTTGGCATTCCCCAATGCTTAATCTCTTTACCGTCTTTAATAACGAGAAGGAAGCGACATTTGGCTTCTCCATTTCCCCAAACAGCTTCAAATGCATTTTTTCCTTAATACAGCCCTTTTTGATCTCTTGCATAAAGACAGCATGGCATTGCATTCTGGGAAACTGGGAGCATGTGTGATTTTATTAGAGCTGCTATCCAGAGCCCATTAAACAGAATTCCAGCCATGAGACTCTTTTTGCATATATTGCAGAAACTCATAAGTTCCTCATAGCTCCAGTGCTTTTGCTGAGCTCTTCAGAAGTGTGATTACACACTCTGAGCCCAGTTCAGCATTCCTTGTGCAACACAACCTTCCAAGACAAGTCAGTGGGAGTTTAGGGTGCACCAGGAATGTAAGGTTTGCCCCATAAAATCCTAACTGCTAAACTTTTCTCACCTCCGTTTAATGACTGCAGAGTAGTTAGGGTATTATCCTACGTCTTAGCAGACTTGGGTTCAAATTGTTGTTCCATCACAGACTTCTTATGTGAACTTGGACAAGTCATTAACCTCTGTGTGCTTCGTATTCCCATCTGTACAATGGAGACATTAACACTTCCCTACCTCAGAGGGGTGCTGTGAGGCTAAATATATTAAAGCGTGTGAGCTGCTTAAATATTACAAAAAGAAAAGGAGTACTTGTGGCACCTTAGAGACTAACAAATTTATTTGAGCATAAGCTTTCGTGAGCTACAGCTCACTTCATCGGATGCATTCAGTGGAAAATACAGTGGGGAGATTTATATACACAGAGAACATGAAACAATGGTGGAGGGTGGATACAATTAACTCAGGCTAAGTAAAACTATTTCCCCATATTTATTTTCCCCTACCCCCACCCCCACTGTTCCTCAGACATTCTTGTCAACTGCTGGAAATGGCCCACCTTGATTATCACTACAAAAGGTTCCCCCCTCCCCGTGCTCTCCTGCTGGTAATAGCTCACCTTACCAGTGTGTATGGTAACACCCATTGTTTCATGTTCTCTATGTATATAAATCTCCCCACTGTATTTTCCACTGAATGAATCCAATGAAGTGAGCTGTAGCTCACAAAAGCTTATGCTCAAATAAATTTGTTAGTCTCTAAGGTGCCACAAGTACTCCTTTTCTTTTTGCGAATACAGACTAATACGGCTGCTACTCTGAAACCTTAAATATTACAGTGATGGAACCCATACAGATACACAGAAGTAGGTGTGCCTGCATTCATCTACTCATCAGTAGCTGGGAGGCTAGGGGAAGACAAGCAGAAACCACAAGCAAATAGTATAAGCACCATCTCCCTGCTTGCTAAAGAGAGTAGGTGGGTGAAGTAATATCTTTCATTGAACCAACTTCTGTTGGTGAGACAAGTTTTCAACCTCACATAGAGCTCTTCTTCAGGTCTGGGAAATGTACTCAAAGTGTCACAGCTAAATACAAGGTGGAGCAGATTATTTAGCATCAGTAGTGAGTACATGGCAAGGGACCATTCAATGTGAAGTGGCCCATTAACACCCCCCCAGTCATGGGGAGAAGGAAAAAAAGCTGGGAGGCAGTTTAAGTGGATTGTAGATTGTCATAGTAAGCCATAAATCCAGTATCTATTCAGTCCATGACTTTTAATATCTAGCAGAGTTATGAAACTAAGCTCCCAGACTCATCTTTTGACAGTGTCATGCAGGTTTCTTTTGAGGGTGAGGACTGATATAGAGTGATCACTTTGTGAAAAGTGTTCACTCACAGCTGATAGGGTGTTTTTGTCTTTTATCATTTTTCTGTGAGTTCATCTGAGAGCATAGTAATTGTCTCTTTTCACTTACATAGTTATTATTGTAGCATTTAGTGCACTGGATGAGATACACCACAGCTTTTGATATGTGTATGTAGGATCCATAGATCTTGAAAGGTTGTGGGGGGTGTTGATCACTGTAGCAGCGGAGATAAACCTACAGGTTTTG